TCTGTCCAAGAGTTACTGGACAATTTTTTAAAAACATCTGTAATTTACATGTATTATCTAAGTAAACAAATGTTATATTATCTGTCCAAGAGTTACTGGACAATTTATGTTGCCAGAAGATGGTTCAAAGACTATGTGTATTCACTTACAAACTTCAAACTCAAGATTTGTATATATACAAGAACAATACACTTACTCACGGCTATCAGAGGATCAGGACATTTCAAAAATTCCCTTCCTACAAAACATAAGACAGTTCACTGTTATGTACATAATTTAATGTGAAGTTATTATTAAATTTAAATCAAGATTTTTATCTTAATACTTTGAGAAAGTTCAAGCACAAAACGAACGAATGAATCTTTTAAAACAAAATGAATGAGATTACATTAATACTTGAAGAAAAAAACTAAAGAAAATGTTCGGAGTATATATATATATATTATTAACACAAACTTGATATGACTCAAGTGTCTCTCACTTGACTCAGATGGTGAAACGTATCATCTGAATGATGAGTAAATTTAATTCAGGCAAATAAATCATACTATATTATCAATCCCAAACCTAATTCTGATTTGAATAAAAAGTATCATTACATGGCTTCTATGTTTTGTATATCACTGAAAGAAAGAATAACGATGTGACTGAAAATAAAAAAAAGAAACATTTAGAGTCGAACTGTTTTCATCACAGTAGATATAACAACATCTTTTATTTTGTCTTTAAGACATAAAGTGAAGAGCTTGTCAAACCTCTGGTCTTTCCCTGTAAATGTACTTGTAAATAACTAGATTAAATTATACTGTACAATAAAACTTAACTTTTATCACAATAACAACCTTAAATTATATATAACTAGCAGAAATACCCGCTCTCCGGACAGGGATAACTGCTAGTTACTGTGGAAGGCTATTAGGCCTACGGCGTTTTCTGGAATTGTCTGACAGTTCTACAACAATGTACTCATACATGACTTTCAGTAACGTTCACCATCCATCAGAATTAGTTTAACACTGAGAGTACTCATACATGACTTTCAGTAACGTTCACCATCCATCAGAATTAGTTTAACACTGAGAGTACTCATACATGACTTTCAGTAACGTTCACC